GATGGATGCACAATGACATCAGTCACAAGTGTTGATGTTCATGATCTAAGTTTGAACCTTTATGTGCCTCAAAATAATTTTTTTTATTTATCATTATTTTTTTAACACTAAATTATTATTTCAAAAGACTCCCATGATAGATATTGGAGCCTTTCTTAATGGCCATCATGCCAAATCATACCTTTAATTCATGTTTTAGTATTAAATCGTGAATTAATAATATGAGACATTTAAATAAAAACGCAAAATACTTTTTTGGACCAAATAAAATAATAGGATAATTTCTAACAAAATTTGGTAACCGTTTTTCAAATGGGTGTTGTAGGGTGCTAACACATTCCTTATACTCAATCGACTCCTGAACCAAAAAATCTAATTTTTGCAGACCAAGTATTTAAAATAGGTGACTAATCACACCTCGTAGATGATTGGTGGCGAATCCAAACTCTTATCTCAAAAGAGACCTTCTAAGGGATGACGTCGGCCGCTCCGTGTCGCGATGATGTTGCGACAGTTTGGTAACTCAGCTGGGGACTTTAAGAGAGTCAAGCCATTTATTTTGTCATTTATTATTCTTTTATTTTTTATGTTTTGATCCGCTTTGTTGTTTGCTTTTATATTGTATCATTGCAGTTATTATATTGTATAGTGATTAATTTGATTCTGCAACGTCATACATTTCACACAAACTCACAAGCCTCCTACCCAGACTTTACCCGTAGGATTAGATCGGAGATTGAGTAGTGTGACCTTCGTGAAATTTCGATTCCCGTGCAACCAAATGAAATTCTCCACTCAAGTCAACCATAYTGCAAAATTATATAGAAGATTTGGGGGCCATTTTCATATACGATGCATTAGAACATAACGTAACACTCATTCAAATTACATTTTATTTTTGTTGTGTTCTTATGTCATTTAGTGTCATATGGTTTTTTTAATAAAAAATAGTATCATCTTGGAGTTTTAACCATAAGGTTTTAAATGAACCACGTTTTCTTTAAATAAAATAAGAAATAAAAAATCATTTACCTTTCTTCTATTTGTTTCATTATTTATTTGTTTTCAACATGCATCACATTTATATTACATTTTGTTTGAATCACATATTTGGCCTACTTCTAAGTGAATTTAGAAGTGCTGCCTTTCAAACAGATTATAAATGTCCCTATATAGGCGCACAACAATTTTCAAATTTATTCACTTCTATCCAAAACTTAGAAGTTCAGCTTTATAATCCTAGAGTTTAATTAATATCATGTACATATTAATGTTTCTCTCTTAGGGTGAATTGGAGTCCACCAT